TGCCCCCCCCCCCCCGCGTGCCCCCGTCCCCCGCCAGCCGCTCCAGGCTGCCCAGGCCGCGGAACACGTGCTCTGTGAGCAGCCGCAGGCGGTTCCCGTGGAGAAAGAGGTGGCTCAGGTTGGCCAGGTCTGCGAACAAGTCATCCTGAGTGAGGGGATGGAAACAGAAGAGAGTGGCCTGAGACAGGGTCGGGGACTCCACTCCAGGACCTGGGGGAGGGTAAGGAAGGCATAATGGCAGGGTGTAATAGTGTGGAAGGGCTTGACTTCGGGTTTTTTGTTTTTTGTTGTTTTGTTTTGTTTTTGAGACAGGAGCTCAAGGTAGCCCAGCTATTTAACCAAGAGAATCTTCTAAGCTGCTGCCTCCACCTCTTGATTTCTGGTTTCAGACATGCTAGGCAGCACCTTATTAACTGATCGAGTCCTGAATTTGAAACTTGCATCTTCTAACCTATCTCCTATGGAAAAAGCTATACAGTTGAGGTCAGTGGGTCCTTTTGCCCAGGGCCCCAAGGTACTGCACCCAGCACAACAATGCCAGGCAAGAACTCTACCGCTAAACTATAGCCACAGCTCCCTTCCTACATTTATTTTTATTCTTTTTTCAGATTTTTTATTTGAATTAGAAACAAGATTGTTTTACATGTCAATACCAGTTCCCTCTCTCTCCCTTCCTCCCCTATCACCCTCCTCAACTAAAACCCTACCTATCACATATCCTTTTTGCTTCCCCTGGATGGTGAGGCCTTCCATAGTGTGTCATCAGAGTCTATTATGTCCTTTAGAATAGGGCCTAGGCCCACCCCTGTGAGTCTTGGCTCAGGGAGTATTCCTCTATGTGGAATGGGCTCCCAAAGTCCACACCTATGCTAGGGATAAGTACTGAACTACTACAGGAGGTCCCATAGGTTTTCAAGGTTTCCTCACTGAAACCCATGTTCCTGGGGTCTGGATCAGTCTACACGTATTTTTGAGAGTTGCCCAGGCTGGCTTTGAACTTGCTGTTTGGCCTAGGTGGATCTTTAACTAGCCATCCCCGTGCAGTGCCTTATCCTCTTGAGTAGCTTGGATTAGCTTTCAGTAACACAATACCTAGTTACTTATTTATTCACCCCCCCCCCGGTGTGTGTGTGTGTGTGTGTGTGTGTGTGTGTGTGTGTGTGTCTGACCATCCATCTTTCCAGCCTTTCTAGGTGAATCTAGATGATGTCAAGATGGCAGTCAATACTAACCATCACACATGGACAATGCCATCTCACCTGCCTGCTTCTAAAATTTAGAGTGTATCCCAATCCCTTTCAGATTCCAGTAGCTCCCCAGTGTTTGTCATCTGGCGGATGTGGGGTAGGCTGAGAACAAGTCTGCCTTTCTCACGGTGATGATGAGGTTGCCTGAAGACAGTGCTTGGAGCTTGAGAGTTAGGTCCTGGGTCTGTCATGAACTCTGATAGCTGGGAAAAGTCACTCTGTCTATTCTGCACCTCAGCTCTTCCTCTGTAAAATGCGGGAAATAATGGAGCAGCACACATTAAGATGCCTGGGATAATCAAGAGGTGGTGGTACACGCCTTAAATTCCAGCACCGGGGAGGCAGAGGCAGGTGGATCTCTGTGAGTTCAAGGCCAGTCTGGTCTACAGTGTGAGTTCCAGAATAGCCAGGGCAACACAGAGACACCCTGTCTTGGAAAAGAAGGAGAAGGAGAAGAAGATGTTTGGGATAAGGTTTTCACATGGGCAGACATCATGTGAATTAGCCATGTTTGTTAAGTTGGCTCACATAAGTTAGAGTTCACATAAGGTTCATGGGGGTGGAGTGCTGGGTACAGTTCTTGCATCTAGTGTTTTTGTTTGGGGATGAAGCCCACAGGCTCAAGAGTTAAAAAGCACTGACACAAACCCCAGCTTTTCCTTTTCCTAGCTGCTGGACAAGCTGTTTAACCTTACAGAGCCTCTGTTCCCTTAGTATATGTATCCCACAGAGGTTCTTAAATAGACTGAAGGAAGGTTAGAAGTTATGATGCTGTTGAGGGTACAGCACCTGATAGAGGCATAGTCAACCATCCATAATTCACAGTTGTCATGACAGCAGGGGCTCATTTAGAATTCTATCCCATTCATTTTCCTCTAAGGGAGGGTTTCTTTGGGGACTGGCAGTTCTGCTGCTGGCTGAGTTATCCAGGGGACCCCTGTCAGCTCCACACCCCAGATTTAGCAAAGGAGAGAAGAAACTGAAGTCCCTGATGCCTGGTATCATTGTCCCTCTTACAGTGTGGGGGACAGTGCCTGGGGTGGAGAAGTCATGTTAGTACTGGCAGAACCTTGAGATTATGGCTCAGAAGTGAAGGTATGGATAGGACCATGTGTGTGTGTGTGTGGGGGGGGGCTCTGCATTTTAACCAGCTTACCAGGGAACTTTTGGTGGTCAGCTGGTGTGGGGCTGTAGCTCAGATGTAGAGTACTTGCTTATTAATGTATAAGGCCCTGAGTTGCATTACCTCACCCATGCATTGTGATTTAGGAGCTATTTAGTGTCCACTCATCAAAAACGAAGTTTGCTTCAGATACAGGGTTAACTGTAGAAAGAGCCAGAGCTCCCTTCCTCTCACCCCACTGCCTGGAGCTCCTCCCCAAAGGCTTGGTCAGCAAGCCCCAGGAGTTCTAGTTTGAAAGGACAGAGCATCCTTTCTGCTCAAGCCAGTTCACCTTGGCCTGTTCCCCAACTCTGGTTCTCTCCCACTCCCCCAGGGCCTGGGGAGATAGCTCCTTCCTCATGCTACTTGGGCATTGGGCTGGCCGAAGGTCTCAGGAGGGAGAGTATGCTGAATCCCAGCCCATATCCACAGCCCCCACCTTCCTGTGTTCCCTGCGCGCTTGCACCTCCTCCCATATGCCTTCCGCCCTCTTTGCTGCAGGAACTGAGGCTGCCAAGAGCCCTTCTCTTGGCCACATTGAGATCAGTCCTCCTCAACCTTCTTGCTACCTCTGACACCAGCACAGCACTTGCCACTCTTTGATGCCACCACCCTGATGCCTGTGCAGGACCCAAGCTGACCTGCTCACTGCAATAGCCTCAGCCTTGCTGTGTGCACCTCTAGTTCCTCCTTTCCTGTCATGCCCAGAGGGTACCCTGAGCCCTTTCACCTAACCCCTCCCTTGGGGTTTCTCTTCATAGAGTGTCAGCAATAGTAGGACACACCCAGAGATGTATGGCTAGAGGATCAATGAGGGGACACAGGAGGGTAGCAATGGGTTAAGCGCTCCTATAGAGACTTGGGGTTCTGGAAGGGAAGACAGAGGTTCAGACACCCCAGGGAACCCAGATGTTTTTTTAACCACAGCCCAGTTTTGTATTCTAGTCTCTTCTCTTCTCCTTTTCTTGGCTAGAAGTCTTACTACTCGCCCCTCTGAGCCTCAGCCTTGGGGTCCATTCCCTTCCCCCAACCCAAGTTGTAGCCAAATCCCATTGCCACTTCCTGGGCTGCAGCTCTCAAATCCAGTCCTTCCTTTCTCCACCATTAAAACTGTTCTCTGTGCATTAATAGGTTCTTGACTTTCACAGACCCTCCCCCATCACCTCGCACGCCCCCTCCCTCTGGGCTAGGAACATCTGCTAAAGTCATCCTCTTCCATTTCAAAAACCACATTTCCCTTGCCTCCTGCCTGGCCGGTTCACAGCTTTCTGTATCCATTTGGAAATCTAAATGCAGCATCCCTACACTCCTCAGCCTTGCTGAGAGCATCCTGCTCTTAACCTTGCCTTCCTCCAACCTTGCAACACCTGGCCTTGGTACCCATCTTATCAGCTCCCCAGGCTGTGTGACCTTGGACAGCTCCAGGCACCTCTCTGGGCCTAGTATTTTCATCTGTGCCATAAGTGACTTGGAGTGGCTGATCCTTCAGGTCCCCTAAGCATTTGCTGATTTTGACTCAGTGAGCCTGGGAGCTGATGTCACTCATTGAGCAAAGCTGTTCTGTGTGTGCACTCTGCATTAGGCACCCCCGCTCATGGTGCTTGCCCATCCATGGTAGGTGTCATAACCATCGGCGTCAGCAGGTGATTTGCCAAGTTCTCACTGAATGCCAAGTCCTGTGTGGCACAGATCCTGATAGTATCTTAATCATCAACACTATGAGGCAGATGCTATGATTTTCTCTATTTGGAGACTAAGAGAGAGGGGCTCAGCAAAGGGAACCACTCGCCGAGGGCCCAACAGCTAACATGGGCATAAACTCCAGAGGCAAGACTCCACACCTATCCTAACAGACAGAACCTAACAGACCTGGGCCAGTTCTACCCTGGCAACTCCGTTTGGTTGGTGAATTCACCGCTGTCATTGACTCCCACCCACTCTGTTCTTTCCAAGTACCATCTCCCTTAGTCCTCACAGCATCTGCCCTGAGTAACAGGCCATGATCTCTCTTTCATGGATGGGACCATGAGGCTCCATTAGAACTTGATGGGCTTAGATTAGAACTCCGGTCTGCCTGAGCACAAATACTGCTTGTAGACGCTAAGTAAGTCACTGCAGTAATTAAGGGAGAAAAGCAGCTTTACCATCTGGCCACCCGCCAGCAGAGCAGGGATACTGTTTTTGTTCACCCTGGAATCTCTGGCACCCTGCACGCTGCCTGGCATGCAGTAGGTGCTCAGTAAGGAATCTGCTGCTGAATGAACTGGCCTGGCACAGTGCCTAGCCCTCAGCAGACAGTCCATGAAAACCTCCACCATTTTCATTCTGTCAATGAGCCTCCTCTGGAGCTCCCTTCCTGGGCAGGCTGGACTCCATCCTAGGTCACACTTGCTCCCCAGGATCTCACCGAGTCACATGTTTCCTCGCCTGCTTGTGGCATCTCCTAGCCTAGTTCCAGCAGGCATTTCACAGACAGAGGCTGTCTCTTTTCTTCTCTATAAAGGACCAGGTGCGAAGAGGCTTCCTTCCCATGACACCTGGTGCTGCCCAGGCCAAGATTGTTCAGAAAAAGATGGTTTCTAGTTCAGAAGACCTCAATGACCACCTAGAGGATCATTAGACTTGTGCCTTACCCCAGGAACAGATCGCTGCCTTTGGCCTGAGGGTCAAGACATATTTATGTATTTATTTATTTGTTGCTTTTTTCAAGATAAGGTTTCCTTCTGTGATCTTAGCTGTCCTGGAACTCACAGAGATCCCCCTGCCTCTGCCTAGTGCTGGGATCAAAGCCCACCACTGCCAGGCAAAAGTAATTCATTAAACCCTAAGCTATGCAGTCTACACATTAACTTATTAGCATCTCACAGCCTGTCTTTGTGGAAGGCCTCATTTTCATGGCTCCTCACTAGGAAGAGGAGATGGAGACTCAGAGAACCTTCCCTAAAGCTAAATAGTGAGTAGCTTCTACATACTGATAAGGAGATCAGGATCTTAGGAGAGTCAGGGCCAGTAAGTTGGCTCAGCAGGTAAAGGTGTCTGCTCTGCCACTGTGGTAGTTTGAATGTAATTGGGCCCCCTAATCTCATGGGGAATGGCACTGTTAGGAGGTGTGACTTTGTTGGAGTGGGAATGGCTCTGTTGGAGGAAATGAGACACTATGGGGGCAGGCTTTGAGGTTTCCTATGCTCAGGCTACCACCCAGTGTCTCAGTCAGCTTCCTGTTGCCTGCAAGATGTAGGATGCTCAGCTACTTCTCTAGCACCACATCTGCCTGCATCTCACCATGCTCCCTGCCATGATGATAGTGGACTAAACCCCTGAACTGGAAGTGAGCCACCCCAATTAAATGTTTTCCTTTATAAGAGTTGCAGTGGTTATGGTGTTTCTTCATGGCAATAGAAACCCTGAGACAGCCACCAAGCTGATAATCTGGGTTCCATAGTTGGGATCCCCCTGATGGAAGGAGAGAACCAACTTCCCCAAGTCACCTTTTGACATCCACATGCATGCCATAGCATGTACATGTACACACACCTTCCCCTAGGAGCATAAAAGTGTAATTTAAAAATTAAAAACAAAGGCCAAGTGTCTTTAATCAGAAACTATGAGATCCCCAAGCCTCTAAAATCCAAAACTTTTAGAGTAGCAACAACATATCACCACAAGTGGGGAATTACCCACCATGAAATGTATCACACTCAGAATTACCAAGTTGTATGAAGTTCCCTTTAGGTTGTGAGTCCACATATGCAGGAGACATGGATGAACTATGTGGACAAGTGTATAGGAGACGTAAATGAGCTACATGCTTGGACTTGGGTCCTGTCTCCATGATAACTCATCATGTGTACCCAGATCTTCCAAAATCTGAACCAAACACATCTGGTCCCAGCATTTCAGGTCAGGGTACTCAGCCTGCAAATATCATGGTGCTTTTATTTCAGAATGTGGCCTGTGCTAACACAGGGATGGAGAAAATAGCTTGTCCAAAACCATACAAGAGAAATGCTTTTAAAACTGAACCCAAAGGGCTAGGGAGGTGGCTCATTGGTAGAATGCTTGCCTAGCATACACAAAGACCAACGTTCCATCCCCAGTACTGTATAAACCAGGCATGCTGGTACAGATTGGTAATTTCACTCAGGAATCAGAGGTGGGAAGATTAAGGAGTTTGAGGTCAGGGCTGGAGAGATGGGTAGCTCAGAGGTTAAGAGCACTGGCTGATCTTCCAGGTCCTGAGTTTGATTCCTAGCACCCATATGGCAACTCACAACCATCTGTAACTAACCCCAGCTCCAGGGAATCTGACTTCCTCTTATGGCCTCAGTGGGCACTAGACACATGTGGTGCACAGATGTACATACATGTAGGCAAACACCCATGCATATAAAATAAATAAGTCTAAAACAAACCAAAGACCAACGACAAACCAAGCAAATACACTAGCAAAATTCCCTAGCCCACTCAATTGTATTTTGGGGGTACTATCCCTCTAAAGTATGGGGTCAAGTGCCAGCTCCCCCTAGCTGTGTAGTCTCAGTTCCTTTCTATGTACCTTCTAGCCATGTCTGCCCCTGCTGCCAAGCAGTTTAGGGCTCGGTGTGGTGGGGAGTCCAGTAAGGCCCCAATCACAGGGACAATGGCTTTAGGGATTTATGTCCCACAAATCCTTGGGATCCCCAGTGTGCACTCTGTGGTGAAAAACCTCTGCCTCCACAGGTCTGCAGACTTGAGGTGAAGTGGCTGAGTGTACTCTCTAACCATGTGGTTCTGGGCAACTTTAGTAATAAGACAAATGGGAGGTGAGCCTTGGAGCCTATCCATGGCCTCACAGTAATCCTTAGAGTTGACCCAGATCTCCAAGTTGAAGTTCAAGCTGGAGCACTTCACTGAGACCAATGTTAAATAAAGTTCATTTAAAAAAAAAAAACATGGCATTTTAACAAGCGTTTATATAGTTCTTATTTATGCCAAGCACTATTCTAAGTGCAGTACAAATTATTCATGCATTTAGTGCTTACAAAATCCCTGGGCGATGGATGCTCATATTACTTCCATTTCACAGATAGGAAAACTGAGGTCCATGTTTGAAAAATGTCACATGCTTGTAAATGGTAGTGTTGATGCCTGTAAAGTGCTTTGCCCAGGGCCCAACACAGTGTGTATTTACTATGTGCTTGCTAAATTGATTGCCATTATTCAGCAATAATGAGACATATTATCTCAGACACTATACATTTTCCTTCCCCTGTCTCCATTTGAATACTGTTTCTGTATATAGGTTGCTGTATTTCTAGTACAGCATTACATGGATGCTCAACACATTGATAAATTATCACCACTATTGCTGTTATTGGGAGCATCAGCTGGGACCAATTTTCCAACCCACAGACTGATGACCTGTGGGTACCAAGCCTTGGTTAGGGAGAAAGCAGGGCCTTCTGGGCTCAAATGGAGAGTGCTCCCTTCTAGACAGAGGCTGTGCTCCTAGGGAACATGTCCTCCTGTGTGGTTGTTAAGAGGGTGTGTTACTACTTCCTGGGGAAATGAGATATAAGGGTTTCACTGTCAGACAGTCAGTCAGCATAACAATAATAAATATTAATAGATCAATGATAATAACAATAAATAACAATTCTATTCCTTCCATTTCTTTTTCTCCAGAGCATACATTTTCTTTTTCTTTTTCTTTTCTTTTTTTTTTTTTTTTGCAATGTAACAGAGTTTCACCTGAGGGACAGGGCATAGAAAGGGTTGTCCCTTCCAATATTATCCAGTGTCACTTCTATGAGACAAGCCCCACCCCAGCAATGACTCCACCCTTTGTCCAGCTTGCCTGGGAAAGTGGGAGGAAGTAGGAGGAAGGGAAAAGATCATGCAAAGGCCTTTGGGCTGAGGCTCTTGGGGAAAGGAGAGACACGCAGACATTGGGGGGTGTGCTGAGTGGGTGGGTGCATGAAGGGAGACAGACAGAAGAGGCAGAGGGAGACATATGGGGGAGGCAAATCAAGAGACAGGCAGAGACAAATGGGGACTAGAGAGGTACAGAGAGGCAAGGGGATTTACCAATTGGGTGGACGACACTGTGTAAGAAGACAGAGAAACAGGTAGATGGAGATGCTGAGTGAGGCAGGAAAGGTGGCTTCAGAAGACATGTCCAGGGAGACAGGCCTTAGAGGCCTAGGGGAGGTAGCTGTCTTACCTGTAGGTGGAGCAGGCTGTTCTCCTGGAGGTAGAGGTACTGTAGGCTGACCAGGCCTCGAAAAATGTTGCCAGGCAGGCTGCTGAGCTGGCAGCGATACAGATGTAGTGACTGTAGCCGCTCCAGGCCTTGGAAGGTATCGGGCTCCAGGGAGCGAAGGTGCCGATTGTCACCGAGGTCCAGTTCCTCTAGGGCCTGCAGATGGCGGAAGGTTCCAGGGTAGATGGTGGAGAGGTTGTTGGAGAAGAGCCACAGGGTGAGTAGGTTAGGACCAAAGGTGCCTGGCCGCAGGGAGCGAATGAGGTTGTTCTGCAAGAAGAGTCGCTGGGTGCTGGGTGGCAGGGACAGCGGCACTGAAGAGAAGTTGTTGGCCTGGCAGCTCACGGTGGGTGGGGATGAGTAGCAGGTGCAGAGCATAGGGCAGCTGGGAGTCACAGGAGGGAGGGCCAGGAGTGTCAGCAGTAGACAGGCTGAGGCAGGACCTATGGGGAGAGCAGAGTGAAGGCTCACTGGGTAGGTGGGCAGGGGTCTAGACACACCTTAACAGGCTCAAGGGGCCACCTCCTGTCTCTCTCCAGGCCCCTTTGAGGTATGCAAACCTCAGTTTCTCTCTCTCTCTCTCTCTCTCTCTCTCTCTCTCTCTCTCTCTCTGTGTGTGTGTGTGTGTGTGTGTGTGTGTGTTTGAGACTGGGTCTCATGTAGCCATGGTTGCCCTCATTAGCAGACGATGACCCTGAACTTGTGCCTCTGCCTTCCTAGTACTGAGATTACAGTGGTGTGCTCCATGCCTAGTTGATGCTGTGCTGGAAATCAAACCCAGGACCTTGTGCATGCTAGTCGAGCACTCCACTAATTCACCCTCAGTCCCAGTCTTCAGACCCTTTGGAGAGCTATAGTTTGTCAAGAATGGATGCCTGTGTTTTTCCACTATCAGAGTGAGGGGCTTCCTCTCCCCCCTCCAAGACAGGGTTTCTCTGTATAGCCCTGGCTCTGTAGACCAGGCTGGCCTTGAACTCAAAGAGATCAGTCAGCCTCTATCTCCCAAGTGCTGGGATCAAAGGCGTGCGCCACCAGTCAGTGAGGGAACCCTCAATGGAGCAGCTTTTGCCCTCTTCTCTCTTGTCAGGATTTCCAGAAAGCTGCTGAGGTTTTCTTGGGGAGCTTTGCTTGGGCAAAGGTGAGCCTGTATCTCCAAACACTATGGGCGATTTATAGACAGCACTGGGATGTGTCTCAAGTTGTTTGGGGAGCAGGTGTCTTTTCCTTCCTGTTTGTTTTCATGGTTGTGTTTGACCTTGTTTAGAGTTAGGGTCAAAAGTCTAAGGGTCAGGTTTTCTTTGCTTTGTACTGAAGTGGGGCTGGGGATTCTTTGGGATGGGGATAATTCTTCTTAGGGTGTTAAACTACAGCACTGTCTTCTATCCACCAGATGCCAGCAGCACCCTGCCTCCAGTTATGACAATCAAAATGTCTCTAGACATTGCCAAATGTCCTCTGGGAGCAAAACCAGCCCACTCGAGAAAGCTAGACACTAACTTGAGGCCGTCTGTGACTAGAAGGCCTGTGGGTGTCCTGGTGACCCAATCCTCCTCCTCCTCCTCCTCCCTGCAGGCCTTGGAAGAACCTTAGCCTTTTCCACCTGGGAAGTGGCTGAAGGGGTGGGGCTGCAGACCAACTTAGGCTCTACTCATTCAAAGTCTCCTTCAAAGCCTTTGTTACATTTTTTCCCCAAAGTAACTTTTGGAGTTAAGTTATGGGCTAATCTCCTTAGGATACAGACCAGAAAGCAGGTGCAGGAGACTAAAGTGTTGAGAATGGGTGTCTGTGTTTCTGCCCAACTGACCAAGGAGCACAGAGCCCCTCCTACAAGCTTCCCTGTCCTCTACCCCTCAATGCCACAGAAAGAGGTTCCTGTTGGTAGACCTTAGGTCTACCAGGATTCCCAGAAAGCCTGAGACTTCCCTGAGAATCTGCCTGGGGAGAGGAACCTGCACCTGTTACAAAGCCAGGAGCCATTCATTCCCTTGGCCCCAGAAGTGCCTCATTTGGGGGTCCCAATGGTTTAGGGAGTGGGTAGCTGAGAGGTGGGCAGCTTTTAGCGCCAGATCTCTGAGGCTGCAAACCGATGTTTGAATGAATGTGTTCTGAGATGTCTGTGTGTATGGAGGTGTGCCTGTGATCTGGGGGGGGAGGGGCACGATGAGACAGGTGCTCACTACCCAAGGTGCAGCGCAACCTGGTAGGCAAGGTTGTATCAGGCATGCACCTCTGTGCCTCTTCCTGGGGAGCTCCACCCTATGCAGAATGGAGTAAGTACCTGTGAGTAGGAGTGCTCTCTAGCTCTTCACTTTCAGGCACTTCCCAAAGCCACCCCAGCCCGCTTGTGTGTATGTCACTGGCCCCTCCTGGAGCGCAAGAGCAAGCGAGCAAGCAAGCGTGTGCTGGCGGTCCTCCGCGTGTGTGAGTGCCGGGCCCCGTGCGTGTGTAGGCTGGGTGTGATGTAATATTCAGTGACACAGCGCGGCTGTTCCATTCGTTCACACCACCTCCGCGTTTCTCGGTCCTTCTCACCCCTCCCCCGTGTGGCGGTTCACGATTACTTTTCTCCTGAGTTTTTTTCAGAGCCACGTGGGGTGGAGGAGCATGTCTCTCACCCTTGATCTTAACCAGGAAGGACTGGGGTGTGGGAGTGGACCCTGGGTGGGTTTCCTGAGCACTGTGGGCTGGGCTGGGGATTTCAGAGCTATGTAAGTCCTATGGAAATGGCAATTTGGATCTCAGAGAAGGCAAACAACTTATCCAAGGTCACACACTAAAGTGGTACAGGACAAGGGCCAGAAAAAGACTGGCCTGGTGTCCAGTAGGGCATTCCTCTTCCTGTCATAGTCACCCACTGAGCTCTGCCTCTCCAAGGACTTTACACCAAAGGAAGCCAAATCCTTCTCTGATCTCTTAATCCCACCCCCATCCACAAGCTCACCCGAGTGTGAGCTGCATGGCTGTCAACCCCCGCCACCCCAGGATTACCAAGCTCTTCCTCCAGCCTTCACAGCTGACTGACTGCTGTCCCAGGAGAGAAAGCAGAAAGGGCTACAAACCCAGAAGGCCACAGGTTCAGAGTGCTACTCCCCTGGCCCCGGTCCTCTTCCAGTGTGAGGTCAAGCTCATTGGCCTGGCAAGTCCCCCCATCGTTCTTGTCCCAGCTTCCTGTTCGGCTCCTCACTTTGTCCAGTGCTCCTCTCCTCTTTGCCCCCACAGCCTCCCTGCTGCCCTTTCTCTCAGTAGGATCCACTTCCCTCGGTCTCAGTGGTACTCCCTGCAGGCCCTTTGAGGAGGGACCCTGTGTGTGTGTGTGTGTGTGTGTGTGTGTGTGTGTGTGTGTGCTCCATGGCAGCTGCTGCGTAACAGTGACTCTGTTGCCATTTCTGGCCCTCACTGCCGTGCAAAGCAGCTGTAACCCAAGGAGCTTCATCCATAATTCAGGTTGTGGCTCTCATGGAGGCAGGGGGAGGGGGAGGGGGCTCTGAGCTTCTCTGCCCCCAGGCTGGGTTGGAGTGGGCACTCCAGGCAGAGGCAAGGTAGGGGGGCTGGGAGAGCACCTTTCCCTCCCTCCCCTCTCCTCTACCCTTCTCCTTGTGCTGTTTTCCTTCTCTCACATCCCCTCCCTAAGCCCCACTTTCCCCTCTTTACAGCCATTCCCGGCCCTCCCTGAGGACCACAGCTATACTCCAGGCTCCCCTGTTCATGCATGTCCTGGGCAGGCACAGTGTGTCAGAGGTAGACTGGGGATACCCAGCCACTATCTAGAATAAACCATTGTGAGACAGGAAACATCACCATCACCGAGAGCTGGGAAGCAGAAAAGTCAGCGTCTGGTTGGCAGCACCTCAGAATCCTGGTTTCTTCCCTCCCCTGTAGTGAAGGGAGAGGGAAGCCTTTTCCGCCAGTCTCCCTCACCCTCTGCCCATCCCTTTCTCTAAAGTCATCAGGTCAGCCCCAAGATGAATGGTGTGTGGGACCAGAGAAGAAGGAATCAGTCTTCACTGTGCACCTACTGCATCCCAGCACTCTACTGTACATGCTGCCTTCTTCATCCCTAGAACCCAGCCTGTCAGAACCCCTGCGGAGATTCATAGTACAAAGGTCCCAACCTTTCTAGGAAGGGAGGGAGACTTTACTGTGCAGCCCAAGATCACAGGTGCTGGACTGTGGTTGGAGGACACACTCTGACTTCTTACAGAGCCCCTTCCCCCACCACACCCCCTGGGTGTGAGATGCCCAGAGGTAAAGGGAATTTAGGTCCCCTGCCCATATGCTCAGGTTTGGGACACTCACAATGCTAGCCCTTTGGCTGTTCAGGGTCGTGGGTAGCGCTAGGCTCTCTATAGATTTCCAGTCCAGGGCTCCAGGCTCTGGTTATTCTAGAGCACAGCACAAACGGGAGTCAGGAAGAGGTGACCAATCACCAAAGGCATAGCCACATCTGGCCACAGGAGGGAGTGGAGGAAGGCCACAACATGATATTGATCCTGGAAAGCTAAGGTACCCAGAGCCAAAAGGATCCATTCACCAAAGGATCATGGTCAAGACCCAAGGCCTGCCAGACCTTGGAATACCCAGGTTCTGAGATGAAGAACTCAGTCTGCGCCAACCGTTAGGCCAGAGGCTCCTGGGAATAAGAAACTTGAAGCATGGAGGGGAGGCGGGGAGGCAGAGTCCAAGGCAGGAACTGGAGTGCACCATAATGGGGCAGAGATGTCCCAAGAAAAGTAGACAGGCCTCTGGCTCTAGAAATAGGGTACAGGGTCTCAACTACAAGCACCATCTCCACACATTTAACACTGCCTCAGGGAAGATCCAGGGGCCTGCCCAGCAGATGCTGAGGGGGCAGAGGCTGAGAGGGGGGGCTTGGGAGTGGCATGGGGGCGATGGCATACTAGTGACGCAGGGGCCTGGGGAGGCACTGATGCAGGTGACTGGAGGTTTTGAAGCTGCTGCAAACAGCTTCTCACTCTGCCAGAATGTAACACCCCAAAATAAGAAGCTACTGTGGGGCGGCAGGATCCGACGTCGGGGCTTGGAGATATAAATGGCAGCACTGAGCTAGCCCAGGTGCCCACCCCAAGGAAGCTGCCACCTCCCCCTACAAAGTCCTTACTCTCCTACAGCAGCCCCAGACCCAGAGCTCAAGGTCTCTTGACTAGCCCACCAGCCACTCCCTGAAAGAAGGGATATAACAAGCAGGCGCTTTAGAATGGAGGGCTTCCCACGTGGAAGTGGTTACCAGGAGCCTCTTTGTCTCTTCCCTGGGCCCCCCATCGCTTCTCTTCCTTCTCCTTCTCTGGCTTCTATTGACATCCTGAGCCTTCCCTAACCACTCTACCATGTAGGGATCCGTGTCCCCAATGCCGGTGACCGTCTCCCCAGTGTCTGACCCTTACATCTATCCTCCATCACCAGCTTCCGCTAGCTTCTAGTCTTC